CAGCTGCCCCAAACTGGCCCAAGGGACATTCCATGCCATGGGACGTCATGCTCAGTACATAAACTGGGGGAAAGCTGGCGGGGGGGGCCGCTGCTCGGGGACTGGCTGGGCATCGGTCAGCAGGGGGTGAGCAATTGCACTGTGCATCACTTGCTTTGTGTATTATTATTATTATCATATTATTTCAATTATTAAACTGTTTTTATCTCAACCCATGAGTTTTTCTCACCTGTGCTCTTCCAATTCTCTCCCCCATCCCATCGGGGGTGGGGGGGAGTGAGCGAGCGGCGGGGTGGTGCTCAGTTGCCGGCCAGGGTTAAACCATGACAAGCTGTGAGCAAAATAGTTATCGGCTAACCAACTTGAAAGTTAAGCTTTCATTCATTCTCATGAAAGGCTTCACGCAAATTGAAACAATATTCTTCAAAATCAAAATTCAGCAGTGACTAATGACAAGAAAATTTTAAATACCTTTGTATCTGTTTTTTTACTGCTATCATCCAGAGTCCCAAGTTCTTCAGGTCCTAGAGAGAACAGCGCCTCTGTAATTGTAAAGAAAAAAGCCTATTTAAGAAAAGACAACGTCTCCTCTTTAAAGATTTATTTATTTATTTTTATCTATCAAGCATTATGCTGCTATTCTTTTTGTCAAATTCATAGAATCATAGAATAGTTTGGGTTGGAAGGGACCTCTAAAGATCATCTAGTCCAACCCCCCTGCCATGGGCAGGGACATCTTCAACTAGATCAGGTTTCTCAGAGCCCCGTCCAACCTGACCTGGAATGTTTCCAGGGATGGGGCATCCACCACCTCTCTGGGCAACCTGTGCCAGTGTTTCACCACCCTCAGCGTAAAAAATTTCTTCCTTATATCTAGTCTGAATCTACCCTCTTTTAGTTTAAAACTATTACCCATCACCCTATTGCAACAGGACCTGCTAAAAAGTTTGTCCCCATCATTCTTATAAGCCGCCTTGAAGTATTGATAGGCTGCAATAAGGTCTCCTTGAAGCCTTCTCCTCTCCAGGCTGAACAACCCCAACTCTCTCAGCCTTTCTTCATAGGAGAGGTGTTCCACCCC